GGTCTTAACCCTTAAAACTTGTGCTATAAATACATAAGGTTTTCCACCTAGAGGGATGAGTACATGGTGGCTGAAATTTTCAGCCAAGTTTTCCTAGAAATTGTGCCCACACGAAATTGCTATTTTCGGGTATTATTTGGGTAACACAGTAGAAGACCGTGGAACGTTCGAGGATCACGATTGTGCGGGTGATGGAGATTCCATTGAGAAGTTATGGAACTGAAGGCTCACGTGGTAGAAGAGATATGTTCACGCTTCAACAGGTAACCCGTGAAATCTCGTTTATGCTAGTTGTCTAAATTACATGTGATTTTGATACTGAGATTGCTTCCGCTGCATGTAATAATCCATCACAATAAACACTCCTCGTCGCATGCAGCTAACTACTTCTCCACCTTTTCATATATACACATCTCCAACTAAAAGCTTCTTCTTTAACCTTGTAAATATAGATCTCCATTTGCTCAAGCAAATACGATGAGCCGATTGCCCTTACAGATGATAGCATTATTACTTAAGAGATACAACAAATATTCAAGCATATTAAAATTTAAATAGGTTTCTACTTTGAAATCAATTTCTTTAGGCATACAAATAATTCACAAGTTACTGGAGTAATGATAGAAAAAGTAGCTAAGTATAATACTGATGTCTGATTTAAGACATAAATTATTCCACAACCTATAGTTTCAACAGAAAAATTCAATAACCAACTGAGCCTTCCACAGTTTTCCTCTAAATCCAGCATAGTATTGAAACAAATAGAAAGACAAAAAAGAATAAATGTTCTTTTCAAGTAGAGACACATAAAGACGAAGTGAAAAATCATAAGCAGAAGAAAGTGTATCAAATCTAAAATATATTCATAAGCAAAACGTGAAATTTACCTTAGAATCGTAGAAATAAGTGGAGTAGCAGACAGAACTTTGTATATATCGTAGATCATTTGGCTAATTTTGAGTTAGGGTTTTCTGTAATTGAATTTAAACAATTGTATGTTAAATACTGAACAATAATTGTTTGCGCCTCATAAACGTAGCCCTTTGTTGTATTCGGTTGCTGAACTAAAAGTATGATCATATACTTATCAATCAAAGTACAATAAGTTAAACAAATAACATATTTTAGGATTATATGATTGTCGAATATAAAATTGAATAGTTGTCGATATAAAGGAGACTCTACCAATTTTTTGACGTGAAATCTGAAAAACTAACATATAAACCGTTATGAATTAAATAAATAAAAAATAATACTTCGTATCAAATTAACTAATAAAAAATTTCAAGATATTCTGGTAAGTTAAACAAGTAAAATATTTTAGTGTTCTTTGACTGACGAATAAAAATTTGCGCAGTTGTCAGTACAAAGGAGACTCTGCCAAATTTTTACCGTTAAATCAAAAACACTAATGTATAAACCATTATGAATTAAATAAATGATGCATAATACTTCATATCAAATTAGTTAATAAAAATATTTCAAGATATTCTGATAAATTAAAAAATAAAATATTTTAGGATTCTTTAAATGGCAATAAAAATTTGAATAGTTGTCAGTACAAAAGTGACTCTGCAATTTTGTCGTAAAATCTAAAAATCAATGTATATAGCGTTATGAATTAAAAAAAGAATAAATAATATTCCATATCAAATTAATCAATTAAATATTTCAAGATATTCCGATAAGTTAAATAAATAAAATATTGTACGGTTCTTTGACTAACGAATAAAAAAATTGGATAGTTATCCGTACAAAGGTTACTTCGCCGAATTTTTAACGTCAAATAAAAAAACTAACGTATAAATCGTTATGAATTAAATAAAAGATAAATAATACTTCATATGCTTAAATAATACTCTTTACGGTCTCAAACAACAGTAATAAATAAAATCCTTCGCTATGAAAAAAGTAAGATAATTTCATACGTTTAATTAACATTATTCAATGTACAGACATCATCATGGATCGACCGAGTGGTCATCCCGGACCCAGTTCACGTGAGCTACTTACGCTACAGGCGGGCCATAGGTCTTCGCGTATATGGGATGGTGATTTACTTAGTCAGAACTTCCGCCCACGACGCATTGACAAATTTTGGGAGCTTATCAAGGAGCACCCACTACATCATCGTACTATCGAGTGCCTGACTCGGACTGGTATTTACCGAGTTATAGAGGTCGACCAGTTACAACTCGACTGGCCGTTGATCACGGTTTTGATCGAGCATTGGAGGCCGGAGACACACACATTTCATTTGCCCACCAACGAGGCCACCATCACGCTGCAGGATGTGGAGGTGGGTCGACCATTAGATCTGGATGCACCATCACCATCATTACTACCCCATACGAGGAGGTGGGTTGATAGGAGAGGCCGCGCTCGCGACGTCGAGGCTCGACATCACCTTCCGCTCTGCAGGGATATATTGGATCTCTTGGATGGTGATCAGGTAAATATTCGGCTTAGTACGTTTGTTAATAATTTATTCGTCTTGTGTTAACTTACTTGTCTTGTGTTTACTCAAAAATTCGTATGGAGGCCATATACCAATGAGATCATTGCCAGCTTGCCAGAGTACTGCTCACGAGGTCGAGCCGTATGTCTTTTTGAGGTCCCGTTGATCTGCCTTGATATAGTGGAGCATCATCCGACAGGGCGAATCTTGCAGCAGTTTGGCCGACCATAACATATACCTGCCCATCCCAGTTGGCATGCCACTCATTACGAGCGGGACGATCGTAGTCGAGTTGACCAGGAGTACTTGGCTTAGCTCGAGCCCCGGATAGAAGAATGGGGTCTGAGGCTTTTTATGTTTCTGCCAGACCATCCACATGACAGTGTTGACGTTGACAAGTACATGGCTTGGTATCATCGCGTTACTCGTACTTTGATTGGTAATCCTGATCATCGGGAGAGTCGCCGATACATTCCATATGCCGGGAGGCACGAGGCACTAGTACGTTATTTGATCTACTTATATATAATATTTGATTTACTTTATTTTTTTAATTAATATGTTACATTTTATGCAGGCTATGGGCTTACACCGTATTCACCAGATGGGCCTAGAGATGCAGCAACATGTAGGCGATGAAGAAGCACTACTATTGAACCAGTGGGGTCGTCAAGTTTATGCAGTTGCTGCTGCGACATTGGTTGCTGCATGAGCCGAGGCACGGTTAGGTTTTGATTTTGTGTACATTCCACCAGAAGATTACCATCATGGACCAGATGTGCCCCAAACACGAGGTAGACGTGCTAGGCATGGCCAGACAGGACAGAGTGGTCAGCATGGTCGGGGTGGTTAGCGCGGATAGGGTGGCCAACGAAGGGGTGGTGAGGCACCCGTGGAGGGTGTTACAGGGTTTGCCAGGTGACCAAGGCGAGTCACACGCTGCTAGAGCGGATATGCCTACATTCATGAAAATGTAGCGCATTTATTTTATGTGCTCTACATCCCAATGCTAGCACACTGATATTAAATTTGGTCGTTTCCCTGTCCGTGTATAGCGCATTTATTTCATGCACTATACATAAATTGGTTCGCCCTTTTTTTACCACATACTTTAGTGGCTTGGGTTCAATTAGTTATTACTTTGTTTCCGGACTCCAACCCGATGAGCATATATATTTTAAACATTACGAATTGTGCCTATATTATATTAAAACGTATATATTACATTAAAAATTATATTCGAGTTTAAAATAAAAATTAAAGAAAAGCATAAGTTCTTGAAAATAATGATTGTTGATCTTATTTAACTAACTCAATAAAAGAAGAAATTTTATCCATAGAACTGTTCAATCACCTCAATCAATATATTCGACTTAAATTTTATTTTAGTTTTATAATTTCACTAATTTAATTTCGTAAATTATCAATTTTTTTTACTTTTGGCAAGAATACGTAATTTCTTGAAGAATTAAGAGCTCTATTGATTTTTTTTTTGTTAGAAAACTCACGTTCTTAAGTTCATTATAGAAAATACAAACAAGATACGAATGTATAATCTAGCCGCTACATTGTTAGTAATATAAGTTTTCTTCATTTTGAGGGATCTTTTATTTTTTGTCCAAGAACATAACTAAACGCATTCGAATTCTGCATCAGGAAATTGTCTATTTATAAAAATAAAAATTTATTTTTGTAATGAAATTACTTGTAATTGATGAATTCTGAATGAATTACGTTGAATATGGTGAAAATATAGATTCATACATGTTTAGATTAGATTTAGAATTTATTTTTTCAACCATTCTCACGACTGTTGCATTTTAATTCTTGTGTTTTTTTTAGTTAGTTCTCATTTAAATTGAGATTTTTTAAAAGTAACTTCGATTTTCTTCACACCAAAAAAATTATATACTTAACTCTCCATAGTGTCAAAAACATTTTGTCTGAAGAAATTTTTACATAATTGTTTTGCATGTTTATTGTTCTAAAAATATTCTTCATGATATTTTATTGTGTTGTGTTTATTTTGAATTGCATAAAACATAGTTATAAACGGTTTTCTGCCAATTATAACCTTAGATCTTTTTACTATTTTTGTATTCACGTATAAAATAGTAAAGACTTTAATATTACTTAGAATTTTGCACTAATTTTTATTCATTAGCTTATATCCTTAAAAATATTAGTTCAAGACTCATATTTATGAATAAGGATTGGTGCTATTGTTAACAAGACTTGGTGTGAAGTGATGAATAATTTTACGATTTCAACACATTGGCGTCATTATAGAGTTGTAATTAATTTCAATAAGGAAATCGTTATTTTATACTAAATTTAAGAAGTGTTTAACGTTAAGGTGTTTACAAATTAAAAGGATCTTCTTGATGTGTATTTAAAAAATATTTAATTAATTTTAAAATCTTAAATATTAGAAGTTTTCATATGAAAGGTATTTTAGTTATATTACATAAATCAAATAAGGAAAGGAGTTGGGCAAGTTAAAATTTTAATTGATTTTAAATTCTTAGATATTATGTCTTTGTAAATAAAAAAAAATTAATGAACTTTTTAATTGATTTTAAATTTCTAAAACTTAGAATAATAATTAAATTATAATTATATCCAATGTGAAATTTATTTTTAAAGGATAAAAAGGCGAACGTCATTTCATTAGGACTTTCGTGATTATGTACATTATACAGTACTCCACTTCGTTTGTCTTACTTTTTTAATGTTACCTGATATATATATATATATATATATATATATATATATAACACGGAATTTAAGAATAAAAGTTGAAGAAACAAAGCAATAAAAGAAAAATAATGGAATGAAACCTCAACAAGCCAATTAAATTTTTTTTAACTATAAGTGCATGACATCTTATATACTCTCTCCGTTGCAATTTGTCATGGAATTTAAAAATATGTATTTTAGAGGCTTATGGTCCTAATATCTTAAAGAGTAAAATGAATATAATAAAAGTTTAAAGTTATATTATTATTTTTAGAACGAACTGATAAGGAAAGTGTGTTATATAAATTGAGATAGGTTGAGCACAACTTTCTATTTTGGATTTACACAAATCTATAAAATATTAATTTACCAAAAATAAGAAAAAATATTAATATACTTTTTCTTGGAACCCCTTTTAATTTTTATGCTTTTGAACATCATCTTTAGGTGCAATATTATGTTAAGGAGTTTTCTTGAATAGACTATAGTCTATAATGCATGTTGGATTATAGACTATACTCTGACAAAAAAAAAAAATCCTGCAGTAAACCATGAATTTCTTGAACTAGATTACATTCTATAATGCTATTTTTTGTGCCATTTCTTAAACAAAGCTGCAGCTCCAAAGTTGTTCTTTGTGAATTTTAACAAGTTAATATACTTTAACCTTAAAACCATTTGTGATTTTAATACTTTTTACACACATCTTTAGGTGCATACACTGTTTGGTCCATTGCAAAAAAATACCTTAACTCAAAAATAATTGTTTCTTGTGAATTTTTACAAGTTCAAATACTTTTTGCCTTGGCACCCATGTGATTTTTATTCTTTTAATTATTATCTTTAGGAAGCAGAAAACTGCTAGTGTTTTGTTTGAAACAACGGCAGGCTTTGCAGACTGAACCGCCAAGTCTAGTCTAAGCTAAAAAGAACTCCCAACATGTAACAACTCTCCCTTTACGTTGCTATTTCCACTGTTCTTGTTCTTGTTCAAAACATTAGCCCCGATCTCACTCACACATCTACGGCCTAAACTGACTAAACTCCAAAAATGAATTATTCTACTCATCAACTGGAAACACAACAACCAATCACTGAACCGCCGGACATAAGTTTCATGCAAATAGACGATGTTATGTCACAACCCGGATTTTCCAACCTCGAGAGCCGTAATGGCGTCTACTGGTGAAAGCTAGGCAAACCAAATTATTCTAATTACTTAACCTTTTCCAGTTTTAAACCATTATCTGTGATGGGTAGATATCATGCAAATAACGAAAATAATTAAGCGAAAGACAAAATCTGACAATTTATCTTAATACAAAACTGCGGATGTCTAAATACAACTCTACCCAGAATTTAGTGTCACAGCTTCACAGACGGTCTAAAAATACTACATACAAAGTCTGAAAGATAAAATATACACTATTTCTGAAATGAGTAAAGGAAACAGGATAAAGGAAAAGATAGGAGGTGACGCCAAGACCCGCGGACGTCTGCAGGACTACCTCGTGTCGCCTGTGTGGGCTGAAGACAGCACTCTCACTGCGGTCCAAGCACTCCGGTATCAGTATCTGCACATAGTGCAGAGTGTAGTATCAGCACAACCGACCCCATGTGCTGGTAAGTGCCTAGCCTAACCTCGGCGAAGTAGTGACGAGGCTAGGACCAGACTGCCAAATAAACCTGTGCAATATAGCGTACAAAAATAATAGGAAGCAGATAACAATGATGGCAACAATGATCAATCAGTGATATAAATAGCAGGCAACAAGAACATCATAAATGTTTCTCAACAAATAATAGATACAAATGCAATTAATTTATCAAGTCCTTCAAATATAAATCTTTCGCCTAGAAATCCTTCAAGTAATAATCTCTAAGATAATATGCTTTTCAATGAATATATTCGAATATATTTCCTTTAAATAAATATCTTTCGAATATAATTCTTTCGAGTAAAGGTCACTTTGTGACGCCTCATTCACTTAACATAAAGTAGAGTACAGCTTCCAACCCAATTAGGAAATCAACAAGAAAAGATGAAGTTATTTTTAGAAATCATTTGATAAAGAAGATACCCTTTTCAATTAAAGTACAATATCGAATGAATC